ACCCCCCCCACCTCCTCCCCACCTCCCCGGTGCCTGGACAGCTTTCCCCAGCACCAGCAGGCATCTGCTCCACCTCACACACATTCTGGCTGGCAGCCTTGTCACCGGTGTGCTGGCATCTGCTCAGGTAGGGACGGTCTGTCTTCCCCTGCTTGCCTGCTATCTCAGGCTGCAGTGCTGGACTTCCTCACAGCTGAGGCAAGCCTGCATCTGGGCCTGCCTAGGACCTGGGACATTTTGGGGCATGGCAGGGGCACCAGCTGGGCAATCTGAGGCAGATGCTCCATGCTTCGATACTGGATGGGATCAAATCCCAGTCACTGCCATGGCAGCCAGGTGCCAGGCACCCAACCACACTCACCACTGAGAACCTGGGTCACAGACGGAACAGGAAGGGCAGGCTCTGTGCTAAGGAGCCTTTGTTTCATCACCCCCAGAGCCAGGTTCCTGCTCCCTGCCCCACTGCCTCCAATGATAAGACAATGCAAGCCATTTACACACCTCAGAGGTGCCCAGATGGAGCCAGCCAAGCCTCACCTGTGTTTACAGGTCATTTTGGGAGCTGCAAAGCAGGTTCCAATTGCCCTTGGATGAGCCCAACTGCCCTCAGATGGGCCTGGAAAGATCAAGCCAGGAGGGATCTGCTAGCAGTGGCTCTCACCCCATCCACTCCCCTGCTCTTCCCTGTGAGCTGCACCGTGCCCTCCAGAGCCCCTCAGTGGGAGACAGCTTCAAGCAGGGACCCCACAGCTCCTAGCCGAGGGGCAGCAGGAAGAGAGGTGCTGGCTTGGGCCTGAGCAGCTGGTCCAGACAGCTGGACTCCTTCCCCGCTTTGCACCTGCTTCTGCAATTACAGCAGCCTGCCCACAATCCTCTGAACAGGAAGATGCCCAGGGTCATGCCTGAAAGATTCAAGCCATGCATTCACAGGAGCTGCTGGCTGCCAGGCAGGAAAGCAGTCAGAGTTGGGCCAGTCTGACCGGCTCCTTGCTTAGTCAGTTGGAGCAGTCCTGTTCCAATGCCTGCTGAAAACCGAGGGAGCCTCCCCCCACATTCAAACAGGCTCCAAGCCATCCCAACATGTGGTCTTTAAGCAAGACCCTGCACTGACCCTCTCCCCCACCTCCCACCCCCCAGCAGTGTCAGATGCATTGAGACTCCTAACCCAGGCTGCCCACAGATCTCTGGGGATGGAGAGTCCCCAGTGCCTGAAGATGCCACAATCATCATTGGAAACTTGGTGTCACAGATGCACTAGAGCAGTTAAGCAGCAGCTGCAGATGCTTCAAAGATCCTGGCTACCAGTGCTCTCAGATGGTCAGAAGGAACTGGCTACAAGAAGAGCCCTGTGACTTCCCACAGCCCCTTTGCCGACAAATCCCACTTCTACCCCTCTGGTGAAGCTATAGCCAAAGCTGGAAGCAGGCAGCAGCTTGCCAGGAGAGGCTGTGCTGAGCTGGGAATGGGAAGAGAGGCCCATTTCCATCCCTGAGTGAGCAGGCATGAGGCGCACATCATACTCCCTGCCCCCTCATGTCCTCCCACCCTCTCAAGTGACAAGCACCCATCAAGCAAGGCACCTTGTTGCCATCATGACTAACAAATGGAACCACCCAATGTGAGCTTTCCAAGCTCCTCATGCATTTTGGATGCTGCAGTGCTCACCCCTCTTAGATGCCACCCTTCCCCCGCCCAAACACTCACTTCAGTAGCAACAGCACTCCAGGTTGCTGGAATTTTCCAATACAGGAGTGTGCTGGGCTTGCTGCTTGAAGCCACCTCATCTACAAATCAATAGGACTAAGGCCTCAAAAGGCAAGAGCCCCAACCCCTCATTGTTCAGCATGGGGGGTGGGGGAGAGCAAGGGGCAGAGACAAGCCTGTACTAGCAGGTCTACAGTTACCCCCCTCACCCTCCCCACCTCTAAAACCCAGAGGAAGTTCTCAGGACACAGGGGATTTGAACCATTAGGTATCTGATGCCTTGCATCCAGCTATGGCAGGCCAGGCCAGGCCAGGAAACCGGCTGCACAAAACTCCTACATATTTCATTCAAAGGAATGTAACCAGAGCAGTCAACCCAGAATCAGGTGCTGTGGTGGGAGGAAGGGAGGGGGATGGCACTCGGCATCTGCATGCTTGCCATAGCTAGTAGCAATGCCAGGCCTGGTTTCTCGCTTACTTGGGCACACGGGACCAAATTGTGGGAAGATAAGGCTGCAGCCAGGGTAGGTTTCATAGCCAGGCTCTGCATGGCACTGTGTTCCTGTCACAAAGATGGGATCTGCTCCATTTGCCGAGATCAGTAGGATCCTGGAAAGCCCTGCTTAAAGCTTACTGCTGACGGACAGACAATGACCTCCCTGGAGCAGCCTTGTGCTCTGGTGTCCACCCCTCCATCTGCACTGGCAGCTGATCTTCAATGTGAGAGAAGATCAGCCTTCCTTCCCACTCTTCTGCTTTCCAGAGCCGTGGCACAGTTCATAGGCTCCACATATGAATTGCCATTTCCTGGGTCAGACCCCAGGTTCATCTTGTCCAGTCTCCTGTGTCACACGGCAGCAGAGAGCAAGTATCGGAAGGGAGAGTGAACTGGGTCTGACCAGGAACCCAGCCCAGCACAGTGCCACACAAACCACGTACCTGTCTTGGAGAAGATGAGCTGGAGGATGAGAGGCCGTCGGGTAACGATGCCAGAGCCCCGGGGAAGGAAATCTCTGCAAGAAGGGAGAGAAGGGGGTTACTTGGAAGCACAAAGGGGGCCAATGCTCAAGCATGGAGGGTCACACATGTAAGAACCTTGTACTCCATGATGGTCACATCCAGATACTCCTGCTTCAGGACAGATGCTTCATGCCCTGTCTGGCTGAGCAGAAAGAAGCCAGTTAGAGCCATGGTAGGTGGAAGGGACTGTAGCATCACCCTTTCTACAGAGGAACCAGAGGCAAACATCTTATACAAAGGCACACAGGGAGCATGCAGCAGAGGCTAGCACAGGACTCAGATCTCCCTAAGCCTTCACCCCTTGCATCCCTTATTTCAGCCTCCAGCTAGGACTGGTGAAGAAGGAAAAGCCCAGACCCCAAGGGCCAGGGACAAAATGCTCACTGGAGACAGACTCCTCCATGATCACTGAGGTCTTCTAGCACGCATGACATTTGCAGCCCTGATGCACTGGCAATCACTGCTCTGTCTGGACCCCAAAGATGTCATTCCTCCCGAACCCCACCCCTGCCTCTACCTTGGGGCAGCATCTGGGGAGGGCAGGAAGGTCTCAGTTACTGAGTTTAGAAACAACCCTTGGCCAATGAAAGGCTGTTTTGGAAATAAAGCACCCACCCAAGTGGCCTACTTCAAAAGAAAGAGACAATGTGAGGGGACAGAGTTTCTTCCTCTTCAAAGCCACACACAGGCCATTGTTATGAGCCCTTCCCAATAGGACTGGGTTTCCTACAAACCGCAGAGTGAGACAAAGAGCTGGCGCAGCTCCTCATGGCTCCAAGTGACTCATCCCCCCGCCCCACTGGATGCGAATGCAAGTGTGCGGTGCCATTGTGCGAGACCTCTGTGCTGGATTCTTCTGCCCGGAAATGGAACTGTACTGACATCAAGGGGGAAATGGAACTGCACTGACATTCAAGAAGGATTTGGAGAAGCTTAAGAGAGTCCAGAGAAGAGCCACTTGTATGATCAGAGACCCGAAGAGCAAGCCATACAAGGAAAGGCTGACAGATATGGCACTGCTCAGCCTAGAAAAAAAGCGAAGACTTCAGGGGATTTGGTGGCAGTTTATAAATATATCAGGGGCTAGGCAAGCAACTATTCACCAAAGTGGCCAGGGGAAAACCAGGAGCAACAGTCAAACTCCTAGAAGGTTTCAGACTGGATGCAAGGAAAAACTTCTTCATGGTTTGTGTAACTAGACTCTGGAATACTCCCAGAGGGGGTGGTGCAGGCACCTATCCTGGAGATCCTCAAAAGGAGACTGGATGCACACCCTGCTGGGGTTATTTGACCCCAGCAGTCTTTCCTGCCCAGAGCAGAGGGGCTGGAACCGATGATTTCACAAGGTCCCTTCCAGCCCTAAACTTCTGTGAATCTGTGCCACAAGGCTTCAGTGGGGACCATCCACCCTGGTCTGCCATAGTTCTCACTCCAGCAACAGGAACTGGAAAGTGCCGCTGGTCAGAGCAGGAGGGGGAGAGGAGTGTGGGGGACAGAAACGCAGGTTTGCCAAGTGGCTCTTTTCTGTCTGGCACTTGCGATTCCATTCTGTTTAAAACAAGGTGGAGAGAGCGGCCAGCTGGAAGGGACTGGAAGTCTCTTCACACGCTCACTGGGACCAGAGTGATGCAATGGCCAAGGCCGACATCCTAGGTGCTGTATAAAAGAGCTAGAGGCTGCCCCCGATCCCAAGCAGCCTTCAAAACATGACACCTTCACTAAAGGAGTGAATTAACTGATCTCTGCAGTAAAGCGGGCAGGGACACACATGACACTTCATGCTGCTCTAGCTGCTCCCTACCCCCTTTCTGTTACATGCATCAGGACGTTTTTAAGCCTTCCTCAGAGGCACTGGGTTTGGCTGCAGCCCAGAATGGGGATGGTGACTGGGCTGTGCCAATGATCCTGCTGGGACTCAAACCCAGACAGTTTAAAGCAGTAGTTTTCAACCTGTGGTCTGCAGATCCCTGAGAGTCTGCAGACTACGTCCAAGGGGTCTGCCAAAGATGACTACGATTGAAGTGTGTGAATACCCACTTACAATTCAAAGAGGTCCACACCTCCATTTGAAATTTCTGAAGAGGTCCGCAAATGAAAAAAAAGGCTGAAAACTACTGGTCTAGACGGTCTTGCCCCTCTGCTCAGGGGTCAAACCAATGTGGCACTGGGAGTGAGAAAGGAATGTTGCCCCCTGATCAGATTGGTACAGACTGGGGGGGGAAGGGTTTGCCTTCCTCTGTAGCAGGGGGAACAACCTCTACCTGGAATCTCTTAAGTGCACATTACCAACCTTTTACAGCAGGGGGATGTTGGCTGTCATGGTCCCCCTGCTTTCCCTGTGGCAGGGTTGGGTGTGATGTCTGATGTTGCATCAGGGCTGATGGTAGTTTTAGAAAGAGTTTAGATAATGGACTTGCCTGAGGTGGCTTGGACAGGGCTGATCCTGCCTCAGGCAGGGGGATTCACTCAATATGACCTCGGGAGGTCACTTCCAGCCTGGCAGCTCCATGATTCCATGAAGGAAAGCCCCTCCCCCCCCGGTATACAGCTTATATACCTATGGTACTTAGCAACCCATGGGCCAGCACTACAGATGAAAGGGACTTGGGGGTAATGACTGACCACAAGATGAACATAAGCCTTCAATATGATGCTGCAGCTAGTAAAGCAAGCAAAACACTGGCTTGCATCCATAGATGCTTCTCAAGAAAATCCCAGGACATCATTCTCCCATTGTACTCGGCTTTGGTGAGGCCGCAGCTGGAGTACTGTGTCCAGTTTTGGGCTCCGCAATACAAAAAGGATGCGGAGAAGCTTGAGAGAGTGCAGAGGAGAGCCATGTGCATGATCAGAGGTCAGGAAAACAGACCTTATGATGAAAGACAGAGCCATGAGACTCTTCAGCCTGGAAAAGCACAGGCTCAGGGGTGATCTGGTGGCCACCTATAAGTTTATCAGGGGTGCTCACCAGGATCTGGGGGAACTTCTGTTCACCAGAGGGCCCCAATGGATGACAACATCGAACGGTCACAAAGTCCGCCACAACCAATTCAGGCTGGACATAAGGAAGAACTTCTTTACTGTCCGAGCCCCCAAGATTTGACATAGGCTGCCGCCAGAGGTGGTTCAAGCACCCACTTTGAACGCCTTCAAGACACATTTGGATGTTTTTCTTGCCTGGATCCTATGATCACTGCTGACTTCCTGCCCCTGGGGCAGGGGGCTGGACTCAATGTTCCTTCGGGGTCCCTTCCAGCCCGAATGTCCATGAAATCTGTGGGTGCCATCTAGCCTACTGGTCTCCCCATACAGGTCTGAAAATTTAGGAGACAGGGAGTGACAATTAACACTGCCACCAATCTCAAGTTTCTGGATATACAAGGAATCCCAAAGGTCGGATATGGCTCACGGGACAGGGGTTGAACACCACTGGCTTACTGCAACCCAGTCCCCCAGCCACCAAACACTGCAATAGCATCTGCTGAGGGCAGGTAATCATCCTCACTATGGAGGGAAGTCAATGGTAAACTACTATCCCATAGTAATGGTGCATGTCCATGCCCAGAGTGCAAGAGGGATAAAGACACACTGGGAAGGAGTTCCAGTGGGACAGGCAGGGGCACAGAGCTACTGCCATGTTTAGCATGCCCAACACTGCCCAATTTCACCCCTCCCTTGGTTTTTTCCCTAGATAAGATTCGTGCTCAATGCTGCTAGTTAGCAAGTCTGTAAAGCTGGACCTGGTACTTTCACAGACTCGAGTTAGACCAGTGTGCCCTGTCACACTGCTGCAGGCTGAGCGCAAACACCAGTGGAGGCAGCAATAGGCTGGACTAAGTTGACCTGAGCCCCCAAATGTGCACCTCATGCCCGAATCCCGGGCTACCACTGGGATTGACACCCATATCAGTGGAGGCAAGACCAGTCTAGGCCTATGTCTACTGTGGGTGGTTCTAGGCACTCATGGCATAGCAGTGCCTGCTTAGGCCCATTCATGGCTCTGGCAGGCAGGGGGAGTCTGAAGCCAGCACCTTCCCCTGGCCATAACAGGGTCAGGGCGACAGAGTGAGGAATCCATAACGTAAGCATCAGGAACAGTTCTCCCCAGCTGGAGAACACAGGAGCCAGCAGGACAAGGAAGCATTTTAGACAGTGAAACAGACCAACCTAACTTCAGTGAGACTTCCTCTCACCATCCTCCCTGCTCCCACACCGAGTCCCGGTAACACACCATGACTGCAGCTCTCTGGTTCTTGGCTAGATGCACATGATGAGACTCATGTGCAAACATTCCTGAGAGGCCTTACCCCTGCCCCCACCTCAGGGTCATTAAAACCCACTCTTTGTGCCCTGTTGCAAGACAGCACAGTAAGACATGAACGCATCTGGCAGGCCCTGCTCTTAGTCTTGCTGCCCACTTCTCTTACCAGAGGCATCTGGGATCATTGTCTCATCTCTAAATACTGCACACCTATCACACACCCTGACGCTGGAGTCATCAGGGCCTTGTGGCCTACCCGATGCTCCCACCAGTGCCAGTTCCCTCTACAGGCATTTAGCATCTCCACAGCCTGTTCCCAGAGCTGCTATGGGCATCATGGGTTGCAAAGAACAATGCTCAGGGGTACCAGCTCACCTGCCTGGCCCTGCCCTCTGGGGATGCCCTAACCCAGGCTTCTGGCCAGCAAACAGACACCGCTTGAAAGGCCAAGGTGTGCAGGATCAACTCCACTGAAGCCAGCACTCGGGCCCAGTCCAGGTCGTTCACAACAGCCCATAGCAGCAAGAGGCCTTTAGCTGCAGCTCTGTCCCTGCCACAAGCCAGTGGGGTCACTGCCTCAGCACACAGGTTTCAGGGAGGAGGGTCTCATCTCCTGGGAACAACCTATTTCCTCATTTGCCCAGTGTCTTAACACAGATAACAGAGAAAAGCTTTGTAATCTGGGCAGTCCCTTCCACACTTGCTTGGCACTGCAGCTGGACTGCCAACTCC